TGGTACATTCTCCAGCATTTAGTGAATGCCTACTCTGCGTTATGGTGCCTTAATTGTGCCGCTTGAACAAATAAACAACTCTGTCGCATTTCGGATTAACCGAATCTAAAGTGTGTCGGCATTTTATGAGTTGCGTAATTGTAATTGAGAAATATTATTTCGTCTCAGCAGTTGTTGCGTAGCTTATTCAAATAAAGCAGCGATACCGCAGTGATTAGCCGTGTGCCTTGATATGCGTGACGGAAAGGCGTTATATCCATTTTAAAGGACAATGGAACAAATTTAGCCAGTTTTGAACGTTTCCGTTTGTGCTTTATTTTATAAATTTAGAGACTGAATACTTCGGTTAAACAAAACGAATTGATTTATGAATTAAGTTTGGCTTTTAATCAAATAATTAACTTCTGTTTCCATTGTGTCATCACTATGAGTCCCTCTTCTTCAACTTTTAAACCTTCGATGCAAAAGAAGATAGTTAGAAAGTAAGTGGTCTTTATTCGACGTAAAAGAAGAATATGGTATTTATATGTATATTCTGCGGAGATATAAGGATATATGAGTTGTGATTTGAAGCATGTTAAAACGTCTTCCAACTTTCAGTCTCTACTAGTGATAGTACATAAATTAACCGAAGGAATGGTAGTGATAATGGTGTGATCTTCAAGGCCTAGAATAATGACAATATATATACTGATATACTGTCCTAAGTAAGGCTTTAGAGAAAATCGCGGAGCTAGGCCCTAACTCCGGTGTTAACACATAATAAGATTTTTTAATAGGGGCACTACAAAAGAAACCCGATAGGGACAGCAAACGACTTCATATTTTTTCCCTTTCCTTTGACATTTCTCTTCAGTAATGAAAAGATATACGATCCAACAACGAGTCTAAATTATTAAAATTTACTACCGGAATCAGTAGCGTCAACTTTAAGAGCGCTATGTCCAACTTATGTTCGTCATAAAACGTCCTCTGAGATCAACAATTGAGCGTCAGGTGAAAAAATTTGAATCCCCAGGTACAGTACAAAATGTACTAGTTCTAGTTAGATAAAGAAGAGCCCGTAGTGTCGAGAATATTGCTGCCACTAGCCCATTAATTGAGGAAGACCAAAATCAGTATTTCACATGACTTTTTCTAGGCTTGGGCATCTGACGGTCACGTTGTTGTGGTGAATACTGCGAAAAGATCTTGGCCTACATCCTTACAAGATCAAATTGACGCAAGAACTGAGGCCGCTTGACCACCAGAATCGTCGAGCAACAACTTGAAAAAAGATTCTGATTTTCATCGAAAAATCATCTTCAGCGGTGAGGCTCATTTATGGTTGAGTATGGTCTACTTTCGTAGAGCCTGTTACATGGCCAGCCAAACAGCAATCAAGATAATTACTTTATTCTCCAGAGCCAAGCGGCTTAACTTCTACTGGATGTCACAAAGTCTTCGAAGCTAATGAGAGATTGCCAAGAATGGCAGACAGCTGTAATTCGGAAATGTGACCGAAATATGTATTTACAACGATCTAGAAGAATGGCATAAAAGATTAAACGATTTACTGGTGTGTAAACGTCATTTGTAAAGCGATGGTTCAGAAATACATGAATTTCCTACTGTCACTCAACGAAACGGACTGTAGAAATATGCTTACTATTCACAGTTTGATGGCAAAGCACGTCTCAAGACATGGAGCATCTTTGTGCAGTTATCTTGCATTGCTAAGACACCGCTTTAAGCATTTGGTCCCAAATGGGCAAGAAACACTTAAAGTGTTGTAGTTAGTGAGGCCACAGAGCCTGTTGAAATTCGCGTCAAGCGCTGTCATCATGAACGATGAGCGTTACTGCTTCACTACGTGTTGGTACTTCATTTGATATCGCTGCGTATCAAAACTGGTCAAAACTTTATAGATATAAAATTTGTCATTTGAAATTCAATATACGTGTGTCAAATATACATCGATTATAAAGTAAGGGATTTCCCCGGAAGGTTTAGCAGTTGTATGCACTCTTAAACAATTCTTCCAAAAATATAATGCCTTCAAAGCATGTACAGACCCGAAAGGGGAATATTTCATATACGAAATGTTGTCACTAAAATTTATGAATAAACATAATTTCTTACTTTCGTAGATTCGTAGGCGAAGTTCGATTTTCATTTTGTAGTTGTAGTAATCTTCTAAAAATTTTGTCAAAATTTCCATAAACTTAAAAATTTTTTTCCTTCAGCAATTTTAAGGTGAAAAATTCTTAAATATTCGAAATGTCTAGTACGAGGAAACAATATTTTTTCATTACCATTTCATGGTATTACTTTCAGAGAAGCTGAAGCCCGATTCGACTTACGCTGAATAATTATCAACAATAAAAGGCATTTAAATTTGTAAAGCTCAACCGATGCTTTACGGTGTAATTATCAATAAAGTGTATTTAATATCGTGCGAAATAAGTTTGGCCATTTCATTTTGTACAAAGACTCATTTCAGATATTTTATACGAATTGCTTTCAACTGCAGTAAAATTTGTTTTATTTTGCAGATCCGTAACTGACTTCCGGCCAAAACTGCCGCCACGCTCTTCGCCAATCCTCCTCTCCCTAACGCGATTGCTCGGCTGCTGGCAAACGATTGGCGTTTAATAGCCGATAATCGAGAATTTAATTTACGCAATTGATGCGCCATGAACGAGGCATCCATGAACCCTGACCACATAGTGTCAACACATCAGGCAACAGTGATGCCACTTCTGCCGCGCCCGCGAAATCATGACGCCAACAGCAGATGAGACCGCGACAAGAGCAATTAAGCACTCATTGGATTTGTTATTGCACCAATTAAGTGCGTCTTTAAAAGTATTAAAGAAGTGCGCATTAAGCGCGAGTGGAAGAGATAGTGGAAATAGTGCAAGTAAAGCCAACCACAAATCCGACTGAGACGTATAAGTCAAAGCAAAAAGGGAGAGGAGCAGAGAAGCAACAAAGCAGAGACGACTAATGTTGCAAGTAGCGGCGCTCTAAAGAGTACTGCAAGCGAATGAAGCGTTAGAAAACTCGCGCTTCCATCAATTGAAATTCCTCCACACACACGCACAAAGAGAATATATAAGCTGGAACATTAGATAATTAGTGGATACATTCCCAATAGCAATCAGCAAAACGATGTGGACTCGCACAGCTTACCAGCGGCCGTTTGTATTGCTGATGTTGTTGTTGCAAACATGCTCTAACTTCAATTTGCATGCGGATGCTGGTGTTGCCGCATCCACCGCAGTGCTGCAGTCCGCGGAGGCGGAAGTGAGTTCCGAACACACTGACCTATATAACATCCGTCACGGACGCTCTAAGGTGCGACACTCCAACGAGAAGGAGCATCTCCTCTGGGCCATGCGACCACAAAACACGCCAGCAGGAAACGATAATGCCAAAGCAGCAGTAAACATGCGAGCACAAGGTGTGGGCGAAAGGAGTATTTCCGCAAATACTTCACAAAACGCCGCGGATGCAGCAAGCAGTGACATTATAGCCAGCGACTATGATAATGAGTTGATGTCCGGTGCTGCAGAAAGCATTGCGTACAATCACACCGTGCACCAGAGCAGGATGACTGCTCAACAACTCAACGAAAACCAAAATCGGTTAGGCGGACTTTGGAGCAACGATGCGGACAGTAGCATACAAACTGGCAATGGGCATTTATTCGGCAGTGATTATTGGCTAAACTCGGATGCGAATGGCTCTTTGGTAAGCTCGGCGGAAATTAACCCGGTGCAGCGAGTGCAACCTGCCACACATGCAATGCCCGAAAGGCGGTCGCACTCAATTGCCGCTGCAGCACTGCATTCAGCTATTAAACGAAAACACACTGAAAATTCGCACATATCGCTGGATTACTCCCACCAAGCTGCGAAAACCACCGACACGCCAGATGCTGGTCCTGGTGCGATCGCTACCACAGAGGCGCCAGTGACACATCGCATACGCAAACTGCATATGAAGAAGATAATGGAGAGCATACGCAACAGCGCGGACAAGGCTCTCGGTGTGAAGACATCGAAGAGCCATCATCGCAGCCTCATGACCGCCGAGCACCTGCAGGGTAGGCCAATGGATGTGGAACTACTAAATGGTCAAGATAGTGCTGCGGGCGACACAGACATGCAGGATGATGACACAATGGAGGACAAGGCCGACAGCGACACTGTTAATAGCAGCGTGGATGAAACTTCCACCGACGATGAAGATGCGGACGAAGTAAAAGGTTTCAACAGCCGCAGTGATGAGCAAGACGTGGATAGCGATAACGACACGGCAGATAATGACGATGCTAGTGATGAAATCAATGATGAAGACTTGGTCAATAATAGCGTCGACGGAAGTGAAGACGCTAGTGATAACATATTGACATCCGACATGGATGGCACCAGCGATAGTGACGGTGCATTGAATGAGGTTTTGCAATTAGCAGACGAATTAGATATATCCGTCAACTCCATGGAGGATGTCTACCAAAACGACGAATACATGACGACAACCTCAAGCTATGTAACCACAGGAGCCGCAGAAAGTGCTGAGCTCACTGAGCAAACTACAACATCAGCAACACTTTTGATTGGTGCAGCAAATGAACTAGTCACCAAAATGCTTAACGACGGTACTTTTGTTGAGACCATTACAAGCGCTCCTATGGAGCCAAAAAAGGCAACAACGAAATTGCAACTCGTACAGAAAACAGTGACACCAACAAAACTAACGTTGCTGCCGACAATCGCAACAAAGGATTTTGTGCAACCGAAACTCGCAACCATAAGGAAGTGGAAAAATCAGACTCAGTCTGTGGCGCACCAAAATGAAATTGCCACAAACGAGCGAAGCGCGTGGCATGATGCTGGCGGTGGCGCGGCAAAAATAGCCGCTTCGGAACGCGAAGACCTCGTTCACTCGCATGAGGCGCATGACGCAATTGAGGTGTCACAACTCCAAAGCATTGAGTTCAGCAACGAGACGGCGCCATTTGCTGAAGAAGACAATGTAACTTTGAGCACTTTGGAGCCCATTAAAAGTGGAGCCGAGGACCAAGATGCAATCTGGTTAAACAGTAACTTTTCACAAGAGCCTAATCAGTTGGCAAGCACGAGTGTCGGTGGCGTTCGCTTAGACCGACAGCAGACTTTCGAGATTGAAGAGATTAATTTCGAAAATGTTGTGCTAGAGAATGCTGACGACATAACAATGGACGACGGCCATATGGATAATCGTAATGCACATGGTTTCCCTGTGAGTAATACGGGTGATGTGAGTGCAGACGTTAATGGTAGTGAAGAGGACGGCAACGAAACGGATAACGGCGAAGACGACGAAACGAATCGGTTCTTAGCCGGTGTTGTTGATGCGGCAAACGAAGACGAGATTTACGATTGGGACGAGATATCGCGTAATAATCGTCGAAATTTGATGCGCGGTCGCGATGTCGTAACGAAGTTCTTGCAAATCGTTGAAACACAACATTTGCTCGGTGCTAATTGTGAGGCGGGTACGTCGTTAAATTTAGGCGAAGGCGTGGTCGATCGTTACGCGCAGGATCGATTTCGTGTTGAAGCCGAAGTGGCGGTGAATCGGGCCAACATGTTGACCAGGTGAGTACTGACGGAAATAGTGCATATTTGAGTGACGATAATGAAATAGTTTTGCAATTTGTGAATACATTGCTGAAAAGGATAAGGCAGCTCTTTAGTATTTACGCCTAAATGTAGGCAATATGTTACAGCTAGGTTTTTAAGTATGATTATTACTAAAATTGGTTGATTATTATATTTTTGCCAAGAAATGGGCAATATAAGTTCGTGAGGAAATCTCAGTTGCTTTATTTATTTCTTTTGTTCACTAAAGAATTCCTTAAATTACTTACGCTCTGCAGAATTAATTAAGAGCGCTTCAAAGAGCAAACCAAAAAACGAAATTACAAAGGAATGACACCCTTCTCATTTGAGATAACGAACGTAAACCAATCAATAAGCAATAAACATTGAGTAGGGAAATTAAAAATTCCCAAATAGCCCCTCGCAATTTGAAGTGGAAACGAAAAAGAATGAAAAGCAAATAGTGGAAAATGAAGGACAAACAAGCTGTTGAAAATTTAAAAATTCTACTGCCAGCTGTTCAGGAACCCAGGAAGTATACAAATATTGACCCTCAAGAATGTGTAATGTGAAACCATATAAGGGTTTCGGATATTTGGGAGAACTATTATTTGCTAGAGGACAAATTGTTCTGGGGAAACCCAGTATGGACGTGTAATATACTTAGTACGCTCTTTGGGAAGAAAAAGGCTTTATCTTATGGGCGAATAAATACGAATTAAGAGAATATGTTTCTCAAGGTTTGAACAAGCTTAAGAAAGTAAATCTCAACTTAAGATTCACGTTGTCTCTATGTATTAATCTAAGCGTAGTTTTTGAACAAGCTCAAATGCTACATAAATTAGCAGATCAACAAGTGATAAATATAAAAACAAAACCCATAACTGAATTCTGAAAATGACTGTAACTATCTGCGCATGCAGTCCTTGCTCCGGGCATATCCTTAGAAAAGGGTAGAGAGAAAGGAATAGCAATCAAGTTGACTGACAATCCTTGAAAGCTTATCTGCTGATATGAGGAAATAAAAACGTCGAATTAAGGGAGTGGAGCGCAGTGATATTCTGTCCACTGGCCGCCAATTCGGCACGTTTGGGTTACCACAGCACCGTGGTTGCCCGATGAAGCTCAAGAACGCCGATAATGCGTGGGGGAAGAGAGTTCCGGGCGTATGTAAACATGTGTGTGTACATGTCGGTCACTGTCCGGCGATATTTGACATTTCAAGGATATTTGAGGCAACTTTGAAGCAGCTCGTGTTCGCTATCTAATAACGAAAGGGCACAAAAAGTTGCCCAAACTCAAGACATGTGCGCGTTGTTAGTGTTGTGCATATATATTTACAAGTCCACATATGAACATATACTATATAAGTACTTGTGTGTATACAAAAGCGAAATATCTTTATAACCCCATGAAAAAACTTAGTTCAGAGTTTTCAAATACGCTGCGCTGCGCTTAGCTCGCAATCTTTTTGTGTTTGAGTACAGTAATTGTTGTCGAAGCATACACATACATACTACGTATACACATAAAGAAAACTACAACAGATAGACAGTGATAGCCCTGTCAATAAATGCGCAACGCAGAAGCGGCAAGCGAAAGTTATCCCATCGCCAGTCGTTATCCAATTTGGTGCGATCTGCTTCCCCGTCATCGCAGGCAAACCGAGCATTTGCAGCGGTTTACATATGTCCGCACGTGTGTGTGTGCGTGCGAAGTTCAAGCAAAGTTTTGATTTCATTTTTGGTTAGACCGCACACTGGCGCCAAAGAAGACAAGCTACCCCAAAAAGTTAAAGAAAAGTTGTAAAGTAAAAAATCGGGATATTTTATAGGAGATATTATAACGATAAAATATTTGAAATCTGTTTCACGTAGCTGAACAACAAGTGTGCATATATGTGTGTGTGTGTGCGTGTTCAACATTTTTATATCTGCTTTCCGCAAATTTCTGCTCACTTCCAAAGCTGGCACGCTTATAAAATACACGATTGATACCCGTTCGAATTTGGGTTTCGAACAAAATATTTGCAACGCAGACAGTCTTGAGCAATGATGAACACTTATATATGCAAACGTAATGTTTCATTAATCCTTATTGTCTCTTCTTTTTTTATCAGATTTTTGAGGTACACGACTTTTTATGTTGCAATAGAATATGAAATTTAACGAAGAAACGGGGCAGTGGTCTACGGGCAGCACTGAGTACATAAATATATGTATATAGTACCAGTGGATGCGGCCACGCGTTGCCATGGTATATATCTTATACTATTATTCTATTGTATGAAGCTATTCAGTACAGTGAAAATTTGATTTACGGATAAAGGCGAAAACGTTTTTAATTTGGAATATGTTCATACAAATAAATTTCATTGGAAAAAATAACGAATTTAGGGCAGTTCTCTCAGTTAAGTTAACAGCATCTGTCAGTTCTAGTTAAAAAGGTTCTTTACCAAAAGAAGGAATCTTGGTTAAGTTTACCAGAACTTAACTGCCTGCGAACCAGACATTGAGACAATGGCCGTTAAGACTTGGTATTTTACTGAAAAATAGAATTACAATTGAACTTTCTTAACTCGAATCACCATAATCCACAAACAAACCTTTAAGTATGGGAGGAAATTAGCATACAATTGGATTTATATTGCTAATTCAAGAGTTGGAGTTATGGAGAATTTCGAGTTATAGAATTTTAAGCTATGGAATCTCCACTATCTATTATATTCGGGAATTGTCCGCTTAATAGATTGTATTTACTAAATATCAACAAATTATCGGACCGGTCAATATGTTAATGGATATGTTCGCTTAATAGAGCGTCCATTTAATTCAGCTTTCACTGTATTTCTTATTTATGAATTATTTTTACTATCCTATCTTCCAAGTTGCCTCAAACTGGACATAGTGTGCTAAATTTTGCTAAAACCGGTTCGGTAGTTTAGGAGTTCATCGCGAACAAAATACGTGACACGTATTTTTATAAACAAATAAAAAATTTACTTCAATATATTATATTATATAATACCTAATATCGCACAAAAAGAAGTTTACGCCAACTATGTATACAGTTTAACAGCATAATCATTCGCCCTAAACAACTCGAACCCAGCTCACGGAAGTTCTGGTGAGTCGATATCGATATCTTTCGTTATCCTGATGAAACGCACTTTCTCGGCTATTACACATAATTTAAATGTTCTCGAAAGGGAAGTTCAACAGCTTAAGGCGGTCCCACGATGTGCGCGGATTTGCTTAAAATTGTGTTTTTATTTATTTCCTTCTTCTTTAAGATTTCCCCCCCTTTTGTTGCGTTGCTTTGCAATTCGAAGGCTTTTGTGGACACTTGTGCGTGTCTTGCGATAAACGGCGTAAAAAGCAGAGCTATGCAAAGCTCAGCAGCAGCAAGCGGCTCGGAAAAAGAGCACAACCACAACAACAATCAACAACAATAGCTATGTGGAATTTGTCATTCTCCGTGATTTGTCCAAAAGATAATGCGATTCGTACGATTTTTTTTTTATTATACTAAACATTAGAATTCAGATTTGCCATTTGATATTTTGTTTCCATTTTATTACGTTCCGTTTTGGTCTCCCGTTCGTGCGGCAGCATGAAAGGGCAGCCCATTATCATAATGCAATTCCATGCAATGAAACCACATCAATAGGAGCGAATTTTTTGTTTGTTACCGCAATTTCATGCACCGTTGAAGGAAGCGTCTTGCCAGGGTAAGGAAAAATTTGAAAACAAAAATCCATCAGAAATATTTCCTAAATATGTCCCAAGAGCACATCACATATAATGTGCAAAAACTCACGCATCCCAAAATAGTTCAATGCCGTCAGTGAAAATGGAACCGGAAATATGTGGGCATGTGAATATTGAGAAACAAAACAACAACACGAAGTGTGTGGGCAACGCATTCCGTGCGTTATTTAGATTTTTCCCAAATTGTTTCACAGCTCGCCGCTGCCGAATCGGCTGTGGGGCTAAGTGTCACTCGTCACTCGGTAGTGGGTATTAATAGTGGTCGACCCTTGGACGGCAATGTCAAACTTCCAAATGTATTTCTCAAATTAAAACCGTAACAACCGTTATACGAGTACATATGCGCAATTAGACGGGAGTGAGTGCGAACAACAGAATTCCAAACGGTTTATCCCCTCTCTTTACATGCAGCCATAGACGTGAGCCTTGTAAAATACCCTCATAGCTTTGCATGTTATAACGGCATTAATTTTGCAAAAATTTACTTTTGCTTAAACGAGGCAGTCAGCAAGATACTCGACGCACATATATATTCCGGCAACTTTCGTGGTTAACAGCCAGTTCGAGAAGCTGCACACCCTGCCTTGTATTGTCTCGGGATACAAGGATAGTGCCTGCTCAAACAAGACAATTTTACTGCTCTTCACAAACTTTACAGTTAAACTAAGCCATTTGTTAGAATACTTTGTGGCCTACCATCATTTCCATGCAACAAGCTGCAGCCGACCCAGTTCCGTGCGAGCATTTGCATCTGCCGCCCTGCATGAATCCTTCAATTTGTTTTGCAGTTTTTTCCTTTCCTTTGGCGTGTTTGGGTTGCTGCATACTCGCTGCAAAAGTTCAGAGTGCAGCAAAAGTATAAAAGTTCTGCTGCTGCGCTGCTGGAGAATTGCTAGGCGTTTCAGTGTGTATGAACGGAGACAGAGCCAAGCAGGGGCGTGTTGCGGCGCAAAGCGCTGGCACTGTGAACTGCTGACTTTGTGAAGCGTTACAAAAGTTTGAACAACTGTTGTCACTTGTGTCTTTGGCAAATTGAATTTCTTGCTTCCTGCAATTTGCCGCTGTGTCGCTGTGCCCACTTGCCTCCGCCGCACCTTTGCGCGGCACTCATATCACCTTTCAGCATTTGGTTACACTTTACTTTGCTTGCTTCAGAACCTGCTGCGATTATGGCAATGAGGTGCGCCCCTTTTTTCTCGAAATTGCTTACATTTGCTGAAACGCTTG